ATTGCTTTGGGGAGAGGGAAGGGAAGGAACGAAGGACGTTTCAGCTGTGCGGTTAACCCCGAAGCGTTTTGTCGAGGACTTTCAGAACCATTTTCGTGCGGGCGCCATGAAGACTAGCTTGGACCTTCTGTTGTGTGCCTCGACAGCTATCACCAACCAGAGGGTGACCGATATCAGCGTACAGGTTGGTGTTTGATGCTACGGTAGGGAGGTCACCCCGACTCACGACTTTGGGTAGGGGAACACTGACTACGTAATCCGGCTGGCCGCGTCCCGTTTCGCCGAAAGACTTCCAAAACAAGCCTACAACACGTTTTCTCCTAGAAGGAAAGATTGCACCCAAACGTGCACCCCCCTACCGAAGCATCAGTCGTTGGTCAAAGTAGAACATAGGTTCGGAAAGTGATGTTCCCGCCCTGGCTCCCATCACCGGTCGGGCCAGTGACTTTTCACCAGCATAGAGATACCTTACCATCTCTCTACAAATGCGCACTACCTAGAGCCCGGCCATACCTGTGTGTATCGCTTTTCGCGACAATTCCAGGCCGAGCAAAACGACGCATCCTGCGGAGAGACGAGATCGCGCGAGATCGCGTGAACGTTTGAACAAGACTCAGCCTTGGTTCAGCGATGTGAACGCAGGGGGTAGCGCCGGCAAGGTGTTGGACACACTCTCCGCGTCTAGGTAGACGGGAATAGGACAGCGTTCGATAGGAGAAAGAAAAGGCGTCGCGTTGCTTCTTTCCTGTGTCTCGTGTATGTACCCTGATCGGGAAGTGCGGTTTGCAACTACGGCATTCCTTGGGAGTACCGAACCGATAAGACTCCGAGCACGGCGTCCAAAAACATGATAAAACAGTCAAACTAATTTCACCATTCATTGCCGAAAAGGGATTCTGACGAGTTTAGGGACCCCGACTGCCTCCGTCTTGGCAAAGTTCCCCTGGCAGGGCCGGTAGACCAGAGAAGAAGGTTGTTCTTGCAACAAAGTGAGGGGTATCGATAGTGCAGGACGGGGGATACACGTTGACTGCATCATGATTCAGCAGCAACCCGCACCGTTAGCTCGACCATTGTCAGTTGAGAGCGCTGCAAGAACACTCGGAAGGTTCAACAGACCCATAGCATCCATTCAACCCACAGGACACAGCCGATGGCAATCAACCACAAAAAGACTCCAAGCAACACCTACAGCGTACCAATTCATTTGAGCGCCACAGGCAACACTCTTCAATGTGTTGACACCAGGGCGGCAGACAGCAAAGCAACCAACGACTTGCCAACTGTTGAATAACGACAGCTCAGTAACTCCCTCGTTTCTGTGCCCTAGGTCGTCAGTTCACGACGACTTGTCCTTTCATCAGACGATACAAGACCAATCTCAGCATCAAACACAGGATAGACACCCACAGTGCGCGCAGTCACGACAGCAAATACTCCGACACATCCCCTTCGACTGTGGTTTTATCCCGAAAGGATAGTATTTCATTGATTGTACGCATGTTTTCTAAGAAAACGCGAACGACGCACGATCGATTGAAAATTCGTTTCAGGTCGCACCTCTAGAGCAGCCTCGGATGACGACGTGGTTTCGCCGTCGTCGATGCCGCTGTACCAGTCGTTAATGCTGATGCCGAAGGTCGAATCTACGGTATCCGCGAGGGGTCTTACACAGGTACAGTTTCCTTTCAAGAACTGCTCTTCAGGGTCTGCGTAGTACCTGTTTCACGAGGCGCGAGTGTGTGCAGGATAATGCAAATTTGATATCCGTGAAGACGGTCGGAGTTGTTTCGCGGGCTGGGTTTCGAAATCCGTGGCATGTAGGTAACCTTTGAAACGTCTGCCTGTTGGTACAAGCGGCATTGCTCCGCTCTGTTTCAGTGGTTTGACGAACACACAAGCTAAACGATGCCCCTCTTCTTGCAAGATTGGGCTTCGATGAGGCAAGAATACCGAAAACAACCACAACAACAACCAACAACAATGTGTGGTTAAAAAGGCACGCTTTTTCAGAATGTGGAAGGTTGTTTCAAGGTGCGACGGATGCCTACCTCTCCGTTCCCCATCTTTGGCAATATTTCCCATTGCCCGAGACGTTTTCGCAGGTATACGAGTCCTCCGACCAGTCGTCCCATTGTGCTAGGCCGCCTTGATACACCCCGTCACTGTCAAAGTAGCCGGCCAATCTCGCCGCTTCGTCGTAGCTTAGAACCACGCGAAGGGGGAGACACAAAATGTTTTTGCGCGGGCTTCACTTTTAGGTCATCTCGGTGAATCTGTCGAGGGCGTTGTAGTATTGCTCGAGCGTCGACGGTCGAGATGGCGTCTGGTGAATTGCGCTTTTAGATCGTACATCATGATTCCCACTATTAATAGGATGGCGGAAGGTTTGAAAACGACAAGATACTATTCGCAGGGCTGGTACAAGCTGGTGATTGATCATTTTGAGATGCGACTCTCAGCTCCATTGCAACTTTCTAAGAGCCGCCAAGAAAAGTGGCAGTCACCCCAATGAGTAGACAGTGTTTTGGAACTTGGGAATACCCTTCCACGAAAGAATGATGACCTGAACTACTGCTTGAGGTGTGCCAAGCATGTCGCCGGTCAAGAGCGTCACGCCGATGAAGGGCAAGGGTCTCTGTGCGCCAACTCGTATGTAGCAGCATGGATGCTTGCAGCTCGTGGTGTACGGCTAATGACCTGAGTTATGCCTTGAGGAACATGTCAAGAGGAACAAATGTTTGTGCTGCAACGCGATTCAAACAAGTACCCCCGACGTTGAGATGCTGGTTCTGGTGGGATGCGTGCAGAACTCCGAAGAAAAAAGAGGCGATATGTTCATGAAAAATTCGGAACATGCAGCAAGGAGCACTCGTTTCTCTATATTGGCAGACATTACACACGCTCTGCTCTCTTGTGAACATTGTGAAAATCGCCGGGAACTTAAACCTCAAACCAACCTGGCATCAAATGAGGTAGTGGTGGCACCAGAACGTGTCATTCCCGCGTTTGGTCAGCTGTTTTTTCGTCTTCCGCAATTCGACAACTCTTGGGGGGTTTTCGGCTTGCGCTTGAAGGTGAAGTTTAACACTGTTTTCTTGCTACCCGTGTTCCACACCAGTGTCGTCAGCGATTGGAATTCCATTTGGATTCCAAGGCCGAGCGCTACAGCCCCGCGTTACGGAGACTGCAAACAGCTCCATCGTGAGGAAGAGAAGTGTGCCAAGATCCTTGTTCGCAGTTTGGCAGCCCTCTTGATTGAATAAGGGAGAACGCACAGAGTCGATGCACACATTCCGAGGTTTTGATCGCAGGTGTGTCGGTCGTAGGATTGCCAGAGTTTTATGTGCTTGGGGCGGAAATTTTCGAACAGACGGACGTTCTCTACAGCAGCACCCATGTTACAGGTACTCCCACTACTGTACACTGTAGTTGCATCACGAAGTCTGCATCAACCACGTACGCAAATCCCGCTGGAGAACACCGAAGACCACAGCAATGTGCCATTCAAAAGTCAATCGCCATTCTACGCAACGATTATATTCTTCACTTCCACAAGCACAGCCACCACCCCCTTATTACCCACGCGGTATGAGCCCTACCTTGGCTCCGAGGAAACCAAATGGTTGTTGCCGTAGTCTTCCGAGATCCCCTCGCCAAGCATGACGGCAAACGACATCGCAATGCACAAACATATAAAGGTGTAGACGATGCATCCTATGCATAAACACGGATGCGTCCGTCGTGGCGGGACGAATCCGGTGTGTGAGGATCTCACTGTCCGCACCATCTCCCAATCAACAGGTGAAGCCTTAGAGAACCCTACGGCTGGAACGAGAAGTACAGGACGTGAGGGGGGCTGATGTCGGCGGTATCGCCGCATCGCTGTATGTGCAGTCCGAATCGGCACGAATCGGCACGTGTACTTGGTTTTCGCCTGGTTTGTTCCTTCTCGGGGCAAAACAATTTCGCCGCCAGCAGTGGTACTTCAAGTTGTACAGCAACAGCCGTTCCCAGTACAGTATCTTCCACGTCGCCGCCTTCGAGAACAAGAGGCGAACGCACGCTCCTACCGCTGCTGGCTGCTGACCTTGGGGCGCTCGCTCATAGTAAGCAAAATGCCGCAACATCTGTTGGAGTGTTCTGACCGCATAAAATGCTGGCACGGTGTGGTCTACAGCTGAAGTAGGTGGAACAAGAGAAGGGAAGATGAGCTGGACCGCCTACAGTACACCGTACACGCCGATACGCAGCCGCAAAATTAGGGTCTACACGGCGAGCCGCAAAGTGAAGTTCAACGCCCATCGAGTTTGTGTGGGTAGAATGAAAAAGTTCAATAGAGAAGGATACAAGTATCTCGAGGCAAGTCGAGATCGTTGGCTGGAAAAAATCGACCTTGTCGTAGATCGCCCGGTAGTGGAATCAAGACGGATAAATATTACAACAGCATCGACACCTGGACCACCTCACGACCTACTACGTTGGCAACCGTAACCTCAAACACCGCCCACTATAGGTGTGAACTTATGCAGTATAAAGTCAAGCCTCTCAGCTACTTGAATCTCAAGTGAAGTCAAGCGCGAGGGAAGAGCCTTCCTGACACCAAGAACGAACCAACATATGCACATGGCAACATTCGCTGTGGAACATGGAAGGACCCCAGATTGCTTGAAGGCAATAATGACGGGCAAGGCAACACATCGATGGTTTCGTTGCCAAAAGTGCTAAAGAGGTGTACAACTTCTTGGCTATCCAGCCATCGATGCTATTTTTTCCGTCCATTGGTCCCTTCTTGAATATTTCGTCGTCGACTTTATTGTAGAGCTACATCCGCTTCACCGAAATATTGACACACACATCTCGGGTAAGCACGTTAGGGACAACGGCAATACAATGCTTCCCACCTATCTTCACCAGAAGCTTTGCTGAGAACGCAACACAAAAACACATAAGACCACCATTTCTTGTTCGAGGCTGAAAGGAAGGTGAAATACCATCAATCATTCGTCGCACGCCAGCTCTCCGCCGTCTCGGTCGACACGGACAATCTCGTACGCCGTGGTGGCTATGTCCTCTTCGGCCACGTCGAGCTTGGCGTTCACGGCATACAGAGAGTTTCCCTTGCGCATGGCCGTGGTCTGACGGTCGAAGAGGGGGTTCGATAGCGTGCGGGTCGCCACCGATCCGCAAGACAGGTCAGCCGAAAGGGACACCTGTTTAGACACGCCCCCCCCACGGGGAACCAACAACGAGGCAAAGACGAGGCAACGACGAGGGAAGGGGAGGGAATCGGTTTATGGATCGGTTGAGCTTACACAGTTAGCGTAGTGTTGCCTTATTGAAACGTCGGGGGAGGCATTTTCGGTTGGATATTCCAAAGAAAATCTGCCACAACAAGATATATCCACACGGATCGAAGATCCTTTGTCTGAATTGGGTTTGTGGGAAATGTCACCCGAACCTGCATCTTGATTGACGAAGGCATCTGGAATCGTCGTGGGTATGCCTAGGTAATGCTCCTTGACCGTCAGCCGCAGAAGATATTTAGAGGAGCTAAATGAAAGTAACTCTACCTTCCTTGAGTTCAACTGTCATGCCCCTTCAACGATCACACTCACGCCCTCAACTAGCCCCCGCACACGTGTAACATCGATGTTTGTTTCCGCCCTTTTTCCACGTCACCTGCTCCCGTGCGTTAGACGCTTCGACGCCAACACGAACGAGCAACAACATCTGAGGGAACTAGGGCGAAACCGAGATATTCCAACCGGCACTTCGGTGCTCCAACCGGCACTTCGGTGCAATATAACAACGACAACAACAACAACAACAGTAGCAATCTCATGACCGAGAGGGGATTGAATGCAAGCCATTGAGTTTCGAAAAGTTGCGGACAACGCCGGGTTATACTGTCAAGGTCGTCCAAGGGCGGGAGTTGGTCAAATCATCTCCAAGTGCGAAACGAGCTTGGCGGAATGATTCGTAGAAAGAAGCCTCTGTTGTGTGAAGTGTATTGTTCGCGGTACGAAATCGCCCTCTCGCGATTAGGGTCAAGGATTTTAGTCAACTTATGTCTGGAGTCTATATGCGTCTACGCGACACCACGAATACTTGAGTGTTGCCATTAAACCCCACGTGGAAGTACTAGGCAAATATCTCGGCATCTCGAAAGCTTACCTCATATATCTGCTCGAGAACGTTGTCGGAGACCCAGAGTGTGTTCTTGCGCAGCACCTTAATCAATCAGTCGCGAGCAAACAGGTGCATCAACTGGGCGAAGCGAGACAGAGCACCAACCCGAACAACTTCCGTGGGGCTCACCGCGTTAACCTATGGTACATGCGGTGGGCGCCTGCTTGGACGTTCAGCATGATTTGCTCTCATGGCCACATAATCCAGACACATCAAAAGCCAAAAAAAAAATATCCCCGTACCAACCCATCGCCGCGCGGCCCAAGGACGTCGCCGCCGAGGTCGATCACAGTTGCGTCGCCGGTGTCCGGGTCAACGGCGTAAACCTGCTGGGATTCACTGTTGACAACGATCAGAGCACTGCCGTCGTCTGTGACCTGAGACACCGTTGTGCACGAAAGAACGGGGAAGGCTTGAAGGACATTCCATAATCAGATTCATGTGTGCCCCCCCCGGAATATGGCATCTTGACAAGGATGGCGTACCCTGCTAATGTTTATTGGATGGTTGGGATCACACGAATTGTCGGTGTAACTGCCCGTGTCATGTCGCACACTTCGAGGAGGTGTGGCGGAAAAGAGGCCCTTGTCTCCACCCCCGTCAGCACTAGAAACGCCTACAGTGGGTCGCTTCTCTTACATAAAACCTCCCTCTCTGTTAATGAATATTCGCGTGCCGGCCATAGACACCATATTTTGGAAATGATTCTCGTCATGGGGCACATCGCCACATGTTTGTTAGGATTCCCAATGTACCCAGACCTTCCACCAAAATAATAGCTCTAAGCACGACCATATTACAGTAGTTAGGTTCCACTACAACTAAAACGGGGAGCTATCGTACTATGTAGCTACTGCTGTGCCCTCACGTCTCCGGTGTTTTCCTTCCTAAATCCATCGGCAACGATGCACTCATAAGTCGGAGGCAGTGCAAGGTTTCGAGGGTGATGATGAGGCGACCCTTAGAAGATGATAATCGAGCATGCGTGCTTCTCTCCGCGGTACACCTGCAATTAATTTGCCCTGTGGCTGGGCGAAAGAATGACAATGAATCTCGAAGAAACCACGGTGTACGTGATTTTTGCTCGTGGTTTGGCGGGGTAAGGCAGTGCCAAAGCGTGAAGAGACCAAACCTTCGCATGCGTAGATTGTGTCGCGCGTCAACTGCACGTGAGATCGGCAAATGTCGTGCCGGATCGGATGTGTAGCGCAAGATCACTTCAAACGTTTTGCTCACCTCGATGCCGTTTAGATTGATCGCTTCTTCCACGAAGGGAAAGTTGTCGCCAAGAACGAGAGTCTCAAAGGATGACCCATCCACCAACGCGCCGGTCTCCCTGTCGAGGTTCACCTGTGTGAACGAACCGGTAATTCATTCGGTTGTCTTTTACATGTAGCGACCCTACTGAAGTACCATGAGAGACCGCCGCTGGCCGCATCAGTTGTAGACAAACCGCGCGGTCACCTGGCCCCAAGAAGGCACATGAAGCAGGAAACAGGCAACTCTAGCAGGAACAGGGACCGAGCCATAAAAATAAACGCGAACGTCCCCACGCAGTTCCCATGAAAAGACGAGAGGCGAGACAAGATGATGAAACTAATGCAGAAAACAGGCAAAGCAGACAATAGGATGGATGGAGCCCCAGCGTGCTCTGAGTCGCAAACCACGTCGAAAGATAGCTTGTGTATGTAAATGAAACAATTTTGAACCATCAGGAGGGCTTCAAAAGACTGGGGTGTGGTCACCATCATCGCCAGGGATTTATGGTTTGGTGCACAACCCCTACGCCCAGGAACGTACGGGGTCGGTCTTGATCGATCGAAGAGTCGCGGAACAACTTAGACCACCATGATGTGAGCAGGTGATGCAGACACCCCTACGTTGCTTGGTGGAGGCCAGCACCATAAGCAGATGGGGAAGTCGGAGAACAACTGGGGCCTACCTCTAAACCCACGCTCACGAAGGACATGGCGGAATCGTGAACGATGTACTCGCAACCCAATACTCTACCACAATAACCGAAAATGAAACAAAAACTGTGTTTGTTATGAACTATATTCACAACACAGCCCACATCGCATCATCAGAAGGTTTCCTGTTGAGATTTACTCCTCGTACAGTGGGAACGATGGATTTTCTACGCGCTCGAATAGTAGGAACACCAGACGTTAGCGACACAACTGCCGGCGACCGCTTGTGAATCTCTGAATTGTCTCGGACGAAGAATGATTCGCAGATCCAATTCCCGCACCTTGTAGATGTGCGGTTGGAACGAGTCCGTGTAGAACGCGGCGCCCTTCGTGACGACAACGTCATTTATGATCGACGTGCCCACGTCACCAAAGTCCAGATCGGCAACCAAAGCGAAGTCCTCATCGTACACGCGTCCCGTGCCTTATATGCAAGTTAACCGTGGCAGGACCACGAGATTCGGAAGAACGATAAGGGAAAGACCGTGTTAGGTGACGTATTTTCGAAATATTGTAGATTGGAACATTCTGCTCACCTTCGGTGGGCATTCGATGTCGGAACCAGTGGGGTGGGCTATAGAAAACGTGAACGTTCGTGCAACTCTCATGATTTCCGTGTAACTTGAGCTTGTTTCAAAGAATCCCGTGTTCCTACACAGGCTCTGCCGTTCGAACGTTTAGTTTCCGGGCTGTCAAGAAACAGCGACCGAATCAGCCCAAGAAGCTAGAGATGTTATTGCACCAAAATCGCCAAGCAGCATAGTGTCTGCGAACGCCTCAACCCGATGAGGACATCTCAAAATAAAGCGCAAACAGGCTACAGGCAAAGAAGTGATGCCGAGCCGCCTTCTTGACTTTCACAACTGGATTCCTTCCTGTTTTTCATGCCGTCGCGTCAACAACAAAAAATCGAACGGCTGCATCAATCCCACGTACTGCTGATCGTACCGTATCGATTCACGCCTGTGTGTACGTGTGTGCGTGCATGCTGCGTGAATCGTCTCACTTGATTTGAACATCCGTGTCTACACCTCAGGGCTCACGCGTACGAGGAATGCCGCGAAGAACTTCGTTCTCTGAACCCTCGCTAAAAGGTGCTTTAATCGTTTGAAAAGTACAGATGCCATGGACCCATGAGTCCATGAATAAGGCCCAACAAGACGCAGATCACCGATCATCGTCAATCGATCAACCGAACAACAAACCGTTCGACTACCAGATCTAGTCCACCTGTGACTCGTGCAAGTCAGGTGTGTTGGTGCGCACCGCTGAATGCCCCAGCGACGAAGAGGTAGCCGGATCGGCGGTCGTGACTCAGGCCTGCGGCGGGGCCCGGGGCATCAAGCTCCATCACTTCGCCCTCGCCGGTCTTGAGGTCGCCCTTCCAGATGTTTCCATCTGGAGCATGAACGGAAGCGCCGTTATGAAAAGTTTACGTTTTTCCTCAAGTCTGCATACATGCGTGATGGAAGTTTGAGGGCACAAGAAATCTTCGGGAAAAATTGGCCCGTCCCAGTCCAATTTAACTACAATGGCGGACAAGACCAAGCGAACGAAAATCAATCATTCGTTCGGCGGATGTGTGAAAATGTCCAGTTGTCGTTCTCGACTAAACAGAGAATTTGGCGACTGGGATTCCACGGCTAATCGGAAAAACTCCATGGCCGCATTCTTCCCGGGTGTAGACTACCTTCAGTAGATTTTGCTGTTTCTAGACCGCATGTGGTCGAACAAGAGAAGAAGCCGATCGGAAAGGAAATAAGCGCGGCAAGTACAACAACAACAACGCGACACTCACCAACCAAGGAGCCCACGAAGGCAGTCCATCCTCCGCCGCTGGTGATGCCTTCCGGAGAGAATCCCGTTGGCAAATCGATCACGTCCAGCCTCGACGAGGCACTCGTGACGGTCACCAATGTCGCCAGCAGCCCTCCAGACACCCGCATGCTTGGTACCTGTCGTCGGAGGAGGAATTGACGGCATGGTCTAGGATATCTATTGTCACTTGTTCGCCATCCTTGAAGCGAATCCTGCTATTCTTTCAATGTTACTGCATCGGCAACAACTTTGATATACAAGAACACCGCAAGTAGGCGTCCTGTGCGGCCTTAAAAGTGCGATCCGACGCCCAGAACAGAGGGGACGACATACCAACAACAACATCGGGCTGAATTTGATGATACGGATCTATGCATACATGACGGACGCAGTAAACAGTAGCAATGTAGCCCCTTACAGCAGTAGTCTGCCCACCATCTGTAATTCTTTTCCACGCTGAAATGCATATCAGCGACATACATTCACAGTTTGCGCGGATGGCAATGAGATTCGACCCCTTCCTTTACAATCAATCACATTTCTCCAGTGTGAACTCTCTTGTCCGACCACAGATAGACACAGGTTGGTGTTGCTTCTTTGTTCTCTTGGATTATGTATGCTTTGCCGTTGTCTAGACCAAGCCAACGCACATATATATCTAGATCCCTATCATGGCAAACGACCAAACCCCATCGCACGAGGGCACATGCCTCGGCATAAAGCCCGAAACCTTGCCTGGTATCACGTCATAGCATGTGATAACGCCAAATAACCATGCACATGCCTACCTCTAAATACCAAAACAGAATGTTCATTTTGTCCGAAAACGTACATACCCAACGTCGCAGCTCCTTTTGCCTAACCACAAATGGATGTGTGGTTCCTCTCAATCACACAGCAATATCTACCGTAGCTACTGTTAGTGTTAGACTTCGCCAACCTACATGTATCTGAAGCTGTAGTCTAGGTAAGAGGTTTATGAGCTCGACTCTCTCTATGGAGGGTTTCCTCCTGCCAATAGTTTCGGAGGAATGCGATCAATTTTTCGTGGGTGAAAGAAAATCAACAAGGGACGGGAAGGATGCACCCTTTCTCGCGGCGATGACAACGTTAAAGGGCAAGTACCACAGTATTGTAGAATCCGGCAATACCGCCTGGGTGGCTATGAATATATGCGGTGGAGGGGGCTTCTAATCTCTGTGGCGCGGTGCCCCTATGCAGTTGCTATTGTGTACAACTGTTGAACAGACCCGAAGATTGCCCGCCCCCGAGCGGAAGCGGACTTTCCGATTTGGATACTTGTAGACAAAAAAATATCCGTCGTGGCAGGTGCAGAGAGGGCGAAGAATACCGTGCGTGCATGGAACGTGTGAAGATTGGATAGCTTCAAGCGCTTGCGTGAAGAAGGGAGTGGGGAGGAAGGAGAGGGTCAAGAAGCTGGTGGAGGACGCAGGAACTCCACTTGTAGTCTACAGCAGTTGAGCAGCAGCAGGCGCTTATTGCCCGGGCACAGCAGTAGGATCGTCTGAATCAATGTGGCTATCGAACTGGGTCAAAACACCAGACTGAGCACCGCGACTGGACGCAGAGTGCTTAACGCTACAGTGAGCGACTCTACGAGTTGTTCGACACGGAGTTTCCTTGGAGTGAGCGAGCCGATAGATTTATACAGCAGGGACCAGGACAAGCAGACCACAGAAGTATTCCATGGACTTGAGAAAATCCAAGAAGAACGGAGACCTCTCATGTTAGGATGATCCGAACTGGGGGTAGCTTGTCGCAAGACGTGTGTTGCATAGGGTGTCGGCAACTCGGCGAACTCGCGCCAAGGAGGAAAGATGTGCTGGGCTTGTTGTATAGACTTCTTCTTCACATGAAAAACATGTACTCACATGAACACATGAACGAACATGGACACATGGACACATGGACAGACATGGACTGCACGCACGCGTGCACGCACCACCATGAGGGGGCGACGCAGTATACAACAGGGGTACCTTGCACACCCTGGAAATACATTCCACGTACCACACAATCCTACAACCACTTGGCATTGCTACAAGTATATCTATCAGCCCCCCTGCTTGTGACCATGCCATGTCTTTTTCGATCCTCAAGAACTCCAAAACACAAGAAAATAAACTCAGAAAGTCAACTCAACTCCAGAACAATAGCCTCACTGGCTAGACATCAATTCCCATCCCCGGTCATATCAGATATACTTCTTCGAACTTCAGTGAACTAATTGCCCCCCAGCCTAGAACACCATCCATTGAGAAAATCCATAGGCAAAAATGCAAAATGTTGCCGCCCTAGTTGTTGTTTGATCACACACAAAATAAACCCAAACATCAAAATATTAATCCATACTCATTACGAAGTTACGATGAAACTCGAAATTTCCCACGTTAAGTGCCTTCGTGAGGAAGTCAGCATGTTGATACGCCGATTCCACGTGAAAAATCGAAATCTCCTTCCTGCATACCAAATCCCTGATAAAGTGGTGCCTTACGTCGATGTGCTTCGAGTTACTGTTGTTGCTAATCGGGTTCTGCGCCAACTGAATAGCCCCGTGGTTATCCTCGAACACCGGAATACACGGCATATCGGCAACATGAAACGCCATACTTGCCTCAGAAACAACACTTCCTTCATCACATCCGCAAGGGAGACATACTCCGCCTCTGTCGTGCTTAACGTAACGTACTTCTGCGTCCTTGAAAACCAAGAAATACATCCCCCCCCCACACATCACCAACCCTCCTGACACAGACCTCCTATCGGCAGCCTAACTTGCATAGTCTGCGTCTGCGAACACCTCCATGCTCAACCCTGCTACACTACCCCTCCTGAATGAAATACCCAAGTCACTAGTCCTTACCACATACCCCAAAATACCAAGACCTGCTCTCCAATGAATCTCTTTGGGAGAAGCACAGTAACGTGCTACCGCTCTCACTGCGTTCGCGATATCTGGCCTCGTTTGCGTTGCCAGCCACATCAATGATCCTATCAGCTCACGAAAAGGCCTTGATACCACTTCTTCATCTTGGTCAAACTCTGAAAGCTTCAACCCTACAGGAAGAGGAATTTCCTTCCCGTACTCTACCCCAAACTCCATCCCCAACTCTTCAGCGTACGTCTGCTGCGAGATCTTCAAAGTCCCTGCATCCCAATTTCCCAAGAATAAAATCTCCTCTACCACCTGCTCCCTAAGGTTGTGATCGCTGTTCACAACCAAACATCCTGTGAAAACCCCGAAAATAAAATCCTACTCGTTCAGGCTCGACCTCGTTAGAAAGGCTTACCCATTAGACTACTCAGTCAGCGCTGACTTCGTACTCAAAAAGACCAAACACAAAGCCGAAGCAACACAAACCAAAGCCAAAACAATGAGAACACCAAATAAGGAAAGTCACACCATTTGTCACATGAAGTACTTTTTTCCGGCCCATCAACCCCAGCGCTTTCATCCATCCCTCCTGCCACTGCTTCTTCCCCGCGGTAGCCACCCTCGCCTCTGCCGCGGCCACCCTTTTCTGCTGGCATGGCCGCGGCTCAGGCTTCATCAGGTGCCACGTATCCGCCTGGGTGGGGTGGGTGCAGCTGTCTCTCCGGGGGGATTGACTCGGCAGTGCAGGGGAGATTGCGCATCCGAAAGGGAAAGGCACAGGCAAAATCAGTCACCCAAAGCGTCAATTTAGCACGTGGCACTGCTGGGGAGAATACCTTGCAATACGCCCCCTGTTCTGCGCAGCAGTGATCGTTGTCTTTCGCATTCTGTACGACATCATGGTTACCTATCAAATCGAACGCCAATCTACGACTGAGGTTAATTACTCCTCTTTCGTAAAAGTGACACAACGATTCTTGCGATTTGTCTGACAAGGTTAATTATTCCTCGGTCACGCAAACAACAATGTTGGATCCATGTTAGAGCTTACACAGCTGTGTTTCTGATCAACAACCCAACACATCTTCTTCTTACTGGTGTGCAACCACTGCGCTGCTTTCGTGCATACAGTGTTCTGGTACGAAATGGAGATCATTTCCATGTATTCCTGTCGGTTACACAGACCCCTGACCAAATTTCCAAGTGTATCCCCCTACAACTCCTACCGCTAGACATGCAACAGACTCCTGTTCGTAACACGCAACTCATTGTCGGTAGAGGGTACAAAGATTCATGACGTCTTCGCATTCCCGTTATCGACGTGAACGCAAAAATAATGAGTCGGAGATCAATCTCTGTATTTTAACACATACGGGACAAAATATTCCCATCAACTTCAAAGCACTCAAGAAGGTATATGCAGCAGCTTGGTTAGGATTCGCTGATAATCTCATCTAATCTTTCAGTTTCTGTGGGTGACTGGCAACCTTACGTGGCGTAGTAGCCATACAACCTCGCAGTTTTGTGTGGGTGACTGGCAACCTTACGTGACGCAATAACCATTTAACCTCGCAGTTTTGTGTGGGTGACTGGCAACCTTACGTGACGCAATATCAATTTAACCTCGCAGTTTTGTGTAGGTGACTGGCAACCTTACGTGAATCAATATCCATTTAACCTCGCAGTTTTGTGTGGATCACTGGCAACCTTATCAAGAATAGAACGCCCTTTGATGGGGTCTACTGCTGTACCTTTCAGGAAAAACATGTGCATGATGATGACGCGTATGTATGCAGAACTCAACAAGGTGTGCTGTAGGTTTATCGGAGCACACCCAAACGAAATCGACGAAGACAAGCATGCAAGCATATACCAAAACCACTTCAGACGTAAAACGGTGAGCAGATCATCACGTGCCTGAGCGGATCTACGACCTTAGTAGGCGCATGCTGATGGTGTTGCTGCTCGGCATCTCCAGTGTTACAACAACATTCGAAATTGGCTCTCAAAAACCTGTACTCCAACCTGGACATCGCCACTAGAATCAAACACACCCGTAAATGGGGCTACATGTATTACATACAGGACTGACACGGATGGTGTCCTTAGGGGGTAAGACTTCCCTGGTTTCTTCCCCCGGGGTGTTGGTCCTCCGCATTGCCCGCGCGAAGGACTCAACGAGACGGTCCTCCAACGATCGTGGCTGGTCTTCAGGTTGCGGGTCTAACGCTGTTCCAGCCGGCCGAGCATGCCGGGGATCGCCTCCATCGGGGGGCTTGTCCACGCTCTCTGATGCGGGACGCTTCTCTTCGGTAAACTTGATTTTTTCTTGTACTCCTCTCTCCACTTCCTCTTTGATGTGCGCCGATAATGCTTGGCGGTCCTCTTCAGTTAAGCTGCTGAGGTCGAGGGCTTCCATGATCTACTTCTCTAGCCGAACCCTTTTAAGCTAACCTCACCTCGGGATCCCGTGTGATATCACACGCTAGCGTGTTAGGATGATCCGAACTGGGGGTAGCTTGTCGCAAGACGTGTGTTGCATAGGGTGTCGGCAACTCGGCGAACTCGCGCCAAGGAGGAAAGATGTGCTGGGCTTGTTGTATAGACTTCTTCTTCACATGAAAAACATGTACTCACATGAACACATGAACGAACATGGACACATGGACACATGGACAGACATGGACTGCACGCACGCGTGCACGCACCACCATGAGGGGGCGACGCAGTATACAACAGGGGTACCTTGCACACCCTGGAAATACATTCCACGTACCACACAATCCTACAACCACTTGGCATTGCTACAAGTATATCTATCATCTCAAGAACAATATCTGTACCTATAAAACAAAACTTTGTAGGCCGTTGTTGTACATATTACGGAGCACACACTCAGCAGATAAAGTCGCACGCCGTTGTGAAATGGCTTGAGGCAGAGCGTGGGGACTCACACGACTACAGGCGCAGATTACTCTCTTTCTCAGACCCTATTGAACTCACTTTAGGTTAGTTTGCTCGCTTCCCTCGCTTGGTTGGGTGTGGTGGTAATGGTGATGAGATGACGAATGACAAGCATGGGGCACAGCAATACAGGGTTTATTCCGGCAACTAATACCAACCTATAAGCATACAGATTTTCAAGAAATCTATCCGTGGATCCTGGGTTATTTACCAGAAAAGAATACGCGAGAACAACAGATCTACTGGACATAAATAAATCAACCCGTGTGTGCAGCAGCATGTGATCAGAGCATGATGCCTGGCTGCATGTATCCGATCTCTGATGAGTGACTACAAAATCATGATCACATCCGCGCCCTTCCTTTCGTGGTACATTATGTGTCTCAACACAATCTACAACAGAGGAGATCGAAATTCATGGAGCCGCCTGGATCCACGTCACGACTGCCAGAAAGAGAGAGAAGACCGGGTTCGGTGGCCGTGTCTTGTTCAGCAGGTTTGGGCTGGTGTGTGCGGAGGGGTTTTTTTGCTTGCGTCCCCCCTCAGCCGCTGCCCACTGCCTTGTGTTGTGTGTGCATCAAAAATGCACTCCTACCGCGGTGCTTGTGTGTCAATTCGAGTCATGTAGGGCAAGATCCAGGTGGTGGGGGAAGCAAAGGCGTACGACTTACTACAAATAATACAGGTTCTCCGGTTCTCGGGAGGAAGGCCCGCAGATTTCCTCTGCGGCGAGACAATTGGACCGGCGGGACTGTCAGCTTTCGGGGACGAGAGCGGCGCGATGAGAGTGTGGAGTCGTGGCCTGCCTGCGCAGCAGTACTGGGTACTGGCGCTACGTGTGTTGTGGACGCTTAGGAGAGCTTTGGGGCTTGGTGTGGCGATGGTTCGAAAGAAGGTGGATGCCCGCGTCCGGAGCTTGATCGAGAACGGGGTGAAGAGCAACCACCGAAGCACGTTTGTGCTCGTTGGTGACCATGGAAAGGATCAGGCAAGCCACCCACCGCACGCGGCACAGCAGACGCACCAATCCCTAAGCCGACCACACACACACACACATGCTACTGTCGACTGCTGCTGTGTCATGTGCTACACAACCAGCGGTTTCGACCTAGATGGGTTTTTCTTAGTCCTGTTGTGCTCTGCTGCTGTGGAGTTGTGGGGGACTGTCCCACTGGATGCCTCGTGACCTACTTGTATCCCGTCGCAGACTTCGTGGCTGCCTGACAGCATGGGGGCTCTCTGTAGCTCCACCGGTCCACGCGGTGTCATGCCGTTAGGCTGGTAGGAGAGTAGCTCTTTGTGCAATCGTCGTCAACGTGGCTATCGGATATTCGACCCCAACGTGACGCCTACAGCCGCACAGCAGCAGTGTCGACCTACATACAGCACGCCGCCAGACCAATGCAACATGCGCGTTCAAGGTGTCTACTACTAGTACCAGTCCTCCTCGTCATCCTGCTGTACGACAGCCCATGCTCCAGGCACGATCACTCCTCCGACCGTGACAGCAGTGGCATTGAAGCAGAACTCTCAGGCACGTCGTGTCGTGGCCGTATATATGCATATGTACCCCTGTTTACAAGTAACTTGCGAAGAACACGCCCTGGCTGTCTCCTCTCCCACCCTTGCCCCTCGACTATGCGGGGTGCCGGGGTACGCGGAGAGGAGCGCCAAAGTTCTAGTGTGGGCGCTGTAGACGGGAGGACCAGGAGGGGACAATCGAAGGACGATGGCGCAGTTCAACAGCGAGCTTGCGCGGCGTCGATCTATGCCAAGTGGGAAGCGGTTACCAATAGTGGTACAATGTTACATAGCGGCATTAGATCGAGGTGCAGTAGTGCCACGCAGCGGTCGCTATGTATTCGGGGCGTGTTGTTAAGCAGGGGATTGCTAAACCGGGGCCCCCACATCTGTACCCGTACCTCACGCAGCCGCCTGTCAATATCTCGTTGTACTCTGCGTGTTTTGGTATCAACCGCCGAGCATGACGCATCCCGCACTCCTCCTTGAAGACACCGGCCTTGTTGTCTACGTATCGCCATGATTTCCACGTTGAAACTCGGCCAGTTGCTCACCCGTGCCGTCTCGTGCGGGTGCTGTGCGCTTGCCGCCGACATAATACCATCCCGCAAACCCTTTGCCATGCTGTGCCCTTGGCCCCAATATCGCACCATCACAAAAACACTTTGCCGTCGGTGTTTGTTGTATTCTTCTCCCGCCCCCCTTGCAGCCTCAGCCGCCGATCCTTTCGTTTCACAGGAATCTCACCGCTCCCTTTAGGGTAGCTCGTTGTAGTTCAGATTGTTTAATTAGCCAGCTCTCGTACAGCCGTGCAGCAGGACGGCGGCAGGCGGGCACGAGAGATGGGCACCAGGGCTGCAGTACCCCTGATGCGTACATGTATGTCTATTTTTTTTTTTTACATTTTTCGTGTATCACGGCGACGGGGCCAGTGCTATCATCTTCGGCGTCGTGTTGCTAACTTCATCCCTTGTCCCCGGTGACTGCGGTTACCTCTCTTTGGTGCACGTATTACCCTTCAGGTGGTGAACCTCCACTACATTCTCTCCAAGGCGAGGGTGGCAAGCCGGCCCAGCGTCCTCTGGTGCTACAAGAAAGAGGTAGGGGATACAAATCGCACGTCTTTTTGTGGCGTGTCGTGCCTTGGTGGCCTGCACCGCAGCAACCCTTTTGTCAGTATTCTGCCCGCCCAGGGACCACCGCTCCGATGCTGTCTGCCTGCGCCACCCCTCCCCTCTCCCCACCTCTTCTCTTGACAGTTATGTAGCCTCGTGGTCCGCATGCGTTCTGTGTGCCCCTCAGCCAAGTTGTCTTTCGTTTGCCAACGTCTACCAAGCCCCCCCCCCCCCCCCCCACTAATAAAACTTAAACACCTTTCAAATCCTCCCC